TCCATTACGAACACCTTGACATGCACAGACTCTTTCACAGCTGGCCGTTTTACCTTATGTGGCGACAATACCGGTCAACACATTTACTTGCCATTCACTGCGGATGCCACAGTACTAGATTTTAATATTCTATCGCGTTCGACACAAACCGCTTGGCATTTGATTGTGGAGCAACTGGAGTGTCCACCTTCGCATAGTCACCTAGCTGACGGGTTACCGCCACTCATCGGCGGCGTGGTGAATAATCTGCTGGACTGGCGTAACCTGTTTTCGCGATTTATCAATGATTTGGAGTTACTGGCACCCGCTGGCTGTGATCAATACCACACTAAGCCAGAAGGAGTCATTAGCAGCTTCAATTTCCGCGATGGCATAAATACTTACTACATGTCCAATCTGAAGTATACGATTTGTATTAAGGCCGCTACAGGTGCCAAAGATATTGAGTAGGTTCGAAGAAGAAAATATGAATGTTTGGTCGCTGATTATTAATTCTGTTTTTGTTCGCTTAAGGTATACTGTGAAAAAGTTTTCGCTGTCGTTCGAGTTGCCTAACGAATACTACAACGATGCCTGTCGTCCGCCCATTGCCACGGAAGGACGTCAAAGCGATTATCTTATGTTACCTAATTCAAACTTTGCGGATAATACAGCACATCAACCAACCTACTTTTGTGGTCAAGGGCTGGCGGCCGGACAAGTTTTATTGGGTAAGATTTTGATTCTTCTTATTATTCTAAATAAAAAACATTTTTTCTCTATTTTTCAGGCTCTGGACCTTTTTTGTTGTATTTCTCCAGCGATGAACAATGGAGTCCCATGGAAACTGGTTTCAGCATTGAATATCGCATTAAAGCTTCAGGCTAAAAAATAAAATCCGTAACGGTACTCCAAGCGAATTTAAAATGATTTATCCATTTTATGAAGCCCACAAAATTGTATACTCAATTAAGGGCCATTCGACCTTTTTGCCAATAAATGATTTCAAGAGCAAGAATAGAGTACTAAATATGCATTTTCAAAAACGAGCCACAATTTAGTGTTTACAGCAGAAAGGTTAACTTTGGCGTGGTGATGTACGGGGTCCGGGTGCTCATATTTTAAAGTTATATAGATGAAATTACTGGGAGGCAGTCATTTTTAAATCCTAGTACATAGTTTAATGTTAACTATTTTAGAACCGTTGCTAATGATCTTGATTTTTCGAAAATTTTAAATTGAGGTGGTCGGTGGTATGTGTTGAGCAAGGTGTCCACTGTTTCGGAGAATACCTTGTTGTTTTACCGGAATATTCCAGGATATGTTCCTCTGCTCTGATATATCTTTAGGTTTTTTTTTTATCCACAGATAGATAGCGGCTATACTTGTAGCTCAAGGACCTTAGTGCATAGTACTTCAGCCTTCACTGTTAAATGCGTCGCGTAATCGAGAGTATTTTCAGTTATGCAACCGTATTCTAACAAAGTCACAAACCTTAGCTTATCACTCCTGTGATTTTTACCGTGCCTTGAAGTTTGCCGCTGCAAAATATATGCCACTACTACTCTGCGGATTTTTATGCAGAAAATGGAGCCTAAAAATATTTACCACTTAACTATAAACAAATTGTATACAAATTCATACACTTTGCCAGGACATAGACGCCATATTATACATACATATGCGCCATATTAAAACACACCCCGTGCGTCCGCCACTGACTGACACGTAGTTTACTACTGGTACTGGTGGTACTACATATTTCTAGGCTCTGTATTTTCCATAAAAATCTGCAGTGTAGCCACAACAACAAAAATTTTTAATTTTTTGTGTATTTTTCTAGGACTCAAAATCGAATTTTTATGGCACATTTTGTGGCGCACTAGAAACCACAACAGTGATGAGGTAAGTTTTGTGACTATAAGAATAGAGGGGATGGTTTCTAAAGTTGGAAGAAGTAAATTGTTGAAAGAATTAGGCCAACGAACAGTGATATTTTCTGCCCAAATTTTGGGGTTTTAATTCCTTCGGTTGCCTAAAGTGCTGTTTCAGCTATCGAAGTATGTCCAAGACAGGTTCCGACCTTTTGCACCTGTTCCTATGATCAGTGGTAAAGTGCTAGTTGAGGAAGCTCTCTGCAAAGTTAAAAGTTAATGCTAAAGTTTAAAGTTTTGCAAAATGGGGTTTTTCTTCTGCATGTGGGCTCTACATAAGGTTGAAATTTAAAATTTTTTAATATGTTCAACTCATTAGTATTTATATAACGAAATATTCAAGTGAATTTTTTAATGACAAAAATTTAACGAAAAGGTCATAAGTCATTTACTCCAAGTATCACCAAAAAAAAATTATGTTTATTTCAAGATAATTATATTTAAACTACCTTCTATAAATAAATACGCCACAAGAAAATTTTGCAATCCCTTTTTTAAAAGCACCGTCCGCTCGATTTCAATTATACGTACACTGATTTAAAGGTTATAACTTCCTCTAATCCAGAAATGTTAATCCCGATACATAGGTGGCGTGGCATCTGACATATAGACTAAAATGTGAAAACCACTATATCTCTAAAACCAATTATGCTGGGGACCTGAAACTTAGCACGGATGCATAGATTGTAAATACCCTACTTACGGTGAAAAATGGTAGGTACTGGGAAAGCGGTCGTAGCACTTCCCATACAAACTGAAATTCTCATATCGCTTATCTCTGGAACCGCTTATGCTAACGTCCCGAAAATTGACACAGCAACATATGTTGCCAATACCGTACTTATGGCGAAGAGTGGTAGATTTTGGAAAAGGGGGCGTGGCACCGCCCATACGAACTGGAATTCTCATATCGGTTATCTCTGGGACCACTTATTATAAGGTAATGGAATTTTATACACGTACGTTTATACACATATAAAATCGCAAAATTTTTCAATTTGGAACCATTTTCTCCCAGATTTTAAAATCGCATTGAATTATTGCTGTTTTGTGCAAAAGTTTTTAGAAGGATCAGTGTGTTTGTGTCCCGATAGGTGGCGCAGGGATTGAGAGCTATCAAAAAACATATTTATGATCAGATTTGCTTCACTTTTAGAACACATATTAGTAACATACAATTTGGTGTAATTTGGTAGCCCAGTCGTGTGATGAAAAAATATTGGGCTTTGGCCCAGTCTTGACAAAAACCCGTTTGAAACCGCCGTTAGAAAAGGAAATATTATCTTTTGTTGTAAACCTTCAAGATACTTTCTCAACCGTTAACGATTCTAATGAAAAAAAGAGTTTACGTAGATGTGGGCAATTTAGTTTTGAACTCTCAAGACAAATATAATCGAAAAACTTATTTACAGTCTGAATTGGTATATGTTTGACATATTAGTCGGTGATGAACATCTCATCTATACATACAAATACATATGTATATTTTTTATAAATGAAAATCGAGGTTCCCTTTTCGGTCTGATTTCAAAAGCTACTGAAGAAATTTGGAGGAGACTTGGCATTAACGTCCTTAATTCGATTTTAAGTTTTCCTGTAAATTCGCCATAAATTATGCTGGTGGACTTCAAAATAGTAATTAGCATAAAGGCGTTAGTATTGGTAATAGGTAAAATTCAAAAGTGTATGTAAAAGGATATCGAATTTCGACAACTGGGCGATACTAGTAATACTTAATATTGAATCCGACCATATCCGACCTTTTGTTTAAGACACGATTTTGTACTATATAATATTGAAAGTTTTTCTGAACATGATTTTTTTTATTAACTCTTTTCAACTAATTTCATGTAACATTTAATAAATAAAAAAAAAAGTTAAAAAACGTAATATAATATTTTTCAAATTAATTTGAGGCGCCATATTGGATCGGCTATTTTGTCTTTAGTTACTTTGACTTCAAAAATACTTGAATTTAGCGACCCCAATAACTTTTAAATAATATAATAATAAGCCATTCTTACCAATATTTTTAACGTAAAATATTGTGCTCAAGATTTGGGATCGGTCACTTTGGTTGGTTTTAGTTAATTTGACTTCAGATTCGAATTAAGGACCTCAAAAGCTCATGAAAACCTGAATTCATATCAACATATTCATTGTATAATTTCTGGGCACAAAATGGGTATGAAATATCACTGTGCGTTAATACAAATCGCTGCCAAGCCAAAAAAAAATATTCGCTATTCTTTTAAGAATTGTTGTTAGCAATTCGTTATGATCTTGATCTTTTTTGCCACCAGAATTGATTGCTGAAACGGCAAACTCTACACAATTCTCTTTTAGTAAAACTAATATTTGACTAACATTTTAGAGTGTAAACATTTTCTAATTCAAAAATTCCCACTAACAGAGTTTGTTAGCCAAAACAAAACAAAGCGAAGCCAATTAGTAGCACAAATCAAGCAAGTCAATGGGTGTGAAATAGCTTAGGAAGAAAGCTCATTGAACCGCTTATGGGATGTGGAAGATATGGTTAGTTGAAATCATCACAAATTTATTGCTCCAATAGCATCTGCGAAGCGTTTCGAAAAAATTGTGCAAATAAAGCAGAAATTGTGCATACCTATAAATCCATGTGTACCAGAACATTTGATTTAAGTTTAAGATATTCGGATTCTTTGACAAGTTTGCATTTTACTTTCGAGCACTTAAAGCGCTGGTAAATATTTACAGACTGAGCGTGTTGTTTGTGCAAACAAGTGTAAGTACGAGTATGTGTGTGTGTGTGTGTGTGTGTGTGTGTGTGTGTAAAGTGCGCGCAACCGAGCGAAATAACGTCTACAGACGAGTATGTACTTTCTTAACAATTTTTTCAAAGTAACTAGACAAGATCGAGCCGATCGCTCGGCAGTCTGGTTTTATCAACGACCACATGATCGGTGAAACGAGCTGTCCTCAGCATCAAAGAATGGCTTCTAATGCGCAGTGTTGAACGATTTGTCTTTCACCGCTACACATCGATCTATAAAACGAGCGTTTCGGATAAGTAACGGCACAGTTCGCGGTACGTGCGCGTGCGTTCTGAGTGTGGTATACTACATATGCAGTGAGCTTCGGACGGTTGATTGGGAATAGATATTTGTGTATATTATTCAGTAACTAACACAACGCGTCATTAGTAAAGGAAGCGAATCTGATTACAGAAATAAGTGAAAATTTAAAAAATATATAAAGAAAATATAAGAAGTGCAAAAGTACAATCTTAACACAATTAGTATAGCGGAAATCATTAAAATAATCTTCAAAAAAATATGAATTCCTCGTCCATCAGATCAGTGCTTTTGTATTCTGCTTTATTAGTGTTAATAGCTAGTCCTGGCGTATTTAATGCCGTGTGGAATGAGAATATCCTCTACCACAACCCTAACGTCAGCTATGTTTATTCGAATACGCCGTATGAGGAGGCGCAAGAACCACCAAGCATTTACAGACAGTCGCGCCGCAATCCGTTGATCGACGCCTGCACCACAAACGAGGGCACTTCGGGTACATGTCTAACGCGGTTCAATTGCATGCGTCAAGGCGGCACACCGAAAGGATTCTGCACCAGTTATGGCGTGTGTTGTGAGAGTGAGTGAGATGAAACTGCATAATTGTGTTAGGTGTTACATTTGATATGACTACCATTGTGTTGTTCGCTAGTTGCACCAAAAAGATTAATACTCGTATAGGCGCCAAATTAGAAACTTTTTGCAACAAAGAAGTCAGTGTAAAATAGTGTGTCCAGAATTCGCAAGGCGCAGCACATTTTTGTTCATTGTGAGAAATGAAAAATATCAAAATTGTTTATCCCTAAATACAATTTAGTTATTCAGTAAATAGATTTTTTGAAACGTTAATGAAAACAACAAAAGTTTTAAGATTACGTTTCTTTCAAACAAGTTGAAAGAATTATAAGGAATATTTGTACGGGACACGCGGGATTCTGCGGGACACTCGTAAAATTCTCAGTTTTATAAATTGTCATTTTCAACACTTTTGTATGTGGAGCATAATTTTTGCATGCCAATTCACGCCCGCTTTCTGAAATTTCTTGAAATTTTGATATTCCGGATATAAGACTTGTTGATGCCCAGAGACCAAAAAATGTATGATGAAGTAATAATTAATTTCCGTTGTTGTTGTAAAAAATGAAATATTTATCTCTATGCTTATAACTATAATCAAGATGAAAACAATATTTAAATTATTTGGAGATAAATGCTACGAATTGATTTATGCAGAAACAAATCTACTTTTTATCAGTTGAACCTCTTTTGAAGAGAGCGAGCGCTTTTGTGATACAGAATACGAAATTTTGATTCTCATTTTCATTGATGGTGTTTCCGACAGGGTAGGAGTGAGATGCATCACGAAATTTTGACTAAATTGTTTGAAAATTTTTATTTTTGAAAGACTTATAACAGAAAATCCGGCAAACGTGAAAGTTTTGTAACAATGATTGAACGTGTAATTTTTTTTTTAATTTTTCCCCGAAAATACCGAAAAATTAAATGTTTTTATGGGAAAACCGCACCGGACCAAAAATCCTATTCTTTGGGACTTTAAAATCTTTTTTCATACTGAAATCTAGATTGCCTGGCTTAGAAGTAAGGGAAACGCCTTTTGATTTTTCTGTATAGAAATTTAACTTACTATTTATTTGAATAAATCGAGTAAAAGTTCAGAAATTTTAAGAAAAGGCAATTGTTTAAATTTTATTCATTAGGCCCAATGTTTTGTGCAATTTGAAGCAGGTCCCTCCAGAATTTCTACAGAATCTAACTCAGACTATGGTCTTGCGGCAAGTGAATTCGTTGAGCAGGACAAGTTTGTGTGCTCAGACGGCACTAAAGAATATTTCGATCCTGCTTGTGTTATTGTTGACGAATGTAAATGTAACGTTAATAATGTTAGTTTTTACACAGAAAAGTTACTCTCAACTAAATACCTTAGCACAAGAGTATATTAAGGAACGAGATTACAGTCGTAGGACCAGAACTAACCGCTTGTTTGGCTGCACCATCAATAGGTTTTACACCGCATGAGATGGCAACGCACTCCTCTTGTTTCAAATATTTAGTGTTCAGAAATTCCGACCAGTCCTCTCAACCGCAGAAATTTTTGGTAACTTGTCGGTATTTTAACTGATCAGTGAAAGGTTATAGTTACATTATTTGGTTATAGTTATCAAATCATATGTTGATATAAATTATAAATATTTTTAGCTGACTTTTTTCTGCATGTAGTACCCTCGTACTGCGTTGTTTTCGTTCATCCAGACTGTACGAGATAAACATAATATTTAGGGTATTTAGGATATGCATGAGTATGTATTGCAGGCTTTTCGACATTACTGAACACAAATCTAATTAGTTATTACCGACTTAATGACCTTGATCACAGCTTGATTATCTACAACGAAGGGGTACTTTGAAGTAACAAGTTGCACCATGCTTACTAGCTTTGCCGGCACGTTAGTTGTAGAGATCTGTTTGAAAAAACACTACAGTAATATGAAAATCTCCCAGCGACTCGCTTTGGTTCCATTTGGGTTTCGTCTGCGAACAATTCATCGCTCGTAACGGTGTCCGATTAGTACTCAAATTTGTTGCCAAAGTCGTTTTTTATGATCTTGTAGCTTTTATATAAATAAGTATTTATGTAAATATTTTCAAAGATTTTTTAAGAAAACTCAATTGTCTAGAATGTGTGCTCTTCTCTAAATGATGATAACATAATTATAGACTTTTTTCATTCAGTCCAAAAACTGCAATATCACTTCCCGAATTTAAAGCATTTTCTCTCTTCTCTAACAGCAAACATTCAGTGTGGCCGCAATTCGAATTTGAAGCGCACCATAATCAAAAATCCCGTCCAGCTGCCAACGTCATG